TATTTTTGTGTTACATGTGGTTTAGGGAGGAAATTTCTGCCTCACTTCTCACATAGCCATCTTTGTCCCCCAGTTGTCTCTTCACAAGTTTTTAAATGCACAATACAGTATTATTAACCATAAGCACAGTGCTGTACAGATCTATGGAACTTACTCATATTGCCTAACTAAAACTATATACCCACCGGAATTGCTGTTCTGAACTACAGTACAGCTTAAATAACTTAGGGAATATCAAAGAGCTGCAATAAGGAAAGAAGACCAAACAAACTTACATCAGGTTCTAGAGTCACACAACGCTGAAAAGCCTTCGCTGAACCTCCATAGTCTTCCAAGGCCAAATAGGCACAGCCAAGGGAAAACCATACTCCAAGCTGCAAAGACCAAAAGCCCAAGTCATTCAGACACATAAAGACATTTATAGGATATAATCTGTAAAGTATTTAAGATACTATCAACAAACACACTATTATAAAGAGTGTTGAGCTATATAATAAACATTTGTTTTGCATTCTATATTACTTTAAATGTAGGAAATTTGAAAATGGAGATGAATTTTTACGTATAATTTTTATTTATGAAATTGCAATATCATTGCAGATCTTCTGCTGAAAAAGACCATTCTTTGTGTTAACCAAACTCCATAAATGCAATAGAGAGCAATGTTTATAAGCCCTAATATTATAACCATCATATTAATGTAATATTTCTTACTGAGCATCAACTATGTAAGAAGTATACAAAGAAGTATCAGCAGATTCACAATTGATGAATTCATTACAAACTTGAGAAGTTTTTGCTTTCATCTCCAAATTAGACCACAAGTACTTGTGCAGTTTGACCAAGAGCCAACTGTACTAGCACGTATCTGGCTTAGGCCTATCTGAAAATAATTTAGAAAAAGTAGGCTCAGAATATGGATTTCCAAATAGTTATTCAAAATGGAAAGCCTGACTTAAGTCAGTAAGACGTGTAAACAAAGAGAATTCGAAAACAGGTACATTAAGAAGTAGCTATTGAAATTACAAAAGAATTCTTTACATCATAGGGTTTCCTTAAAATTCAATAGCCTCTATTAAAAGGGAGATAAAACTGATAAAAATTCAATGAAATTAGTCAGAAATGCAGCTATTACAAGTCAAGTTTGCTTTTCTTTCAGATACAGTTAGTAAAGCCAGCAGTAGAATGCTGTCTACTTTCTCACTGACTTCCAGTACAAAGGCAGTCAGCCAGCAGATAGATTTGGTTGAACACTTTAGGGTGGGAAAGGAAATGAGGGCTCTGTTATCTGTCCAAAGCCTTTCACAGAGGCAGAGTAGGAGGCTGCCCCTACTTCCGTCGTGCCCATACTATCCCCCCCCAAACTTGTTCTATATGGCTAGTTGAGGTCTGAAAGTTCTTTAAACAGATAAAAAAAATTTAGCCAATAATTAGAGCTTAGAAAGCAAACATCCTTGGGCATTTTAACACTTCACCTTGAATTCACAAAAGGCAATAAATACTCCTATCTGGAGCCTTTATGGGGAACAGATTTTAGTTAGAGGATAGGTAATGGCTAGAAAGGGAGTGAGTGTGTTTGATGTGGGAGGAGAAGCAGAGCTACTAGAGTGAAGCAAAGTTAGAGGCTCACTTTTCTGAATCAAGGGACTTCCAGCAACTTAATTAGCTCATTACACCTTGCTTCTGTCCAGTTATTTATAAAATCAAGTGAAAAGAGCTCAAAAGCACCAAACTACTCTCACCAAACATTCTGAGGGGCCTAAAGTCTGACTAACTTATAAAACAATCTCTCTAATTTCTAATCAAGTTGAAAATTTCAAAATTTGTGTATTATATTTCACCAATTATAAAGTATACTTTTTCCCCACCACTTAACACTCTGAAACAGATGCATCTTAATAACAATAGCTTGTCAAAGTTTTATCTGCAGCATTTTATTTTCTACACAAGGTAGCACTTAAAATAAACCTAGCCCTTACAATTGATGGCATCTTATATGGCATCTTATATATGATGAATTAAGGTAGCAGGTTTACTTGGAATGAGGGATACCTCACTCTGGCACTAAATCAAAAACAATGAGAAATGCCTCCAAATTTCTAAAAAATGCATGTGACTGGATCGTTTTCTGCATCAAAAAGAATAAACTTCCCCAAAAGTATTTCAGTTATTATAAAAAACAGTGAGAGCAAATTTAAGATGTAAATACTTTTATTTTCAATCCACCTGAAAAGACAAAGGTTACGAGTTTTCCAAGTTAGCAATTATCTTGTAGCTTTAAGACAAGCTGGTGATGAGATTATTATTTATCTTTAAGTTTTCAAAGCAAGTCAATGTTTTGTAACCAGTGTCTTAAAACCAAAATAAATTTAATGAAAATCAGGCAGGTGGCTTAATTTAATACACAATACCTGTTTGTCTTTTCTTTTTATGCTCTTCATCATTTGTGCTGTTTGAACAATTTGCATCTGAAGGACAAAAGGACAATTCTAGGAACATAAACTGCTAGTAGATTTTCATCTATTGATAACTCATAATTATGATGAAAGATGACTTGCATATACCCACCCTATTCTTTGAAATCATAAAATGGCTTTAAAACAAAACAAAACAAAACAAAACAAAACAAAACAAAACAAAACACTATGAACTTCTAATTGCTTGTGGCTAACCTGCTAAACCATAAATAATGCATTCATACCCTGCTTCTCAACTGAGGTCCTTACAATATGAGGACTCAGGAGAATATTTAGTGCCTCTTTTACTTTTTTCATTTTAAACTATTATTATCAATAGTGACTGGTATCTTTGTTTAGAATGGTCATGCTCTTAAGAAAAGAACATTACAAAAGCAAAAATCAAACGAAGCTTAAAAAGAAAAAAAACCCTCACAATTCCCTAAGTTAGAGTTGTATATGTTTGAGTACCAAAGATCTTTATCGTCTAGTCCATGCTATCAGATAGAAATGTAATGCTATCCTCATGTTTTCTAGTAGCCTCATTTAAAAAGTAAAAAGACACGGGTGAATTTATTTTAAAAAACATTTCATTTAACGTTACACACCCAAAATATTACCATTTCAACATGTTATCAATATACAAAATTATTGATACGTTTTATTCATTTTTTTCATACTAAATATTTGAAATCTGATGTGTATCTGACACATACAGCACACCCCAACTTTGACTAGCCACATTTCAAGTGCTCAACTTCACATGCAGCTAGGAACCACCATACTGGCCAGCAGGGTTCTACATGACTTCTCTGAAACATAGACACAGACCCTAGCAGATCTGCATCCCTCCCTTCTTGCTCCAATAAGAAAACTAGCTTCTCTGGCTGAGACACTCCCCTGGGCTCCTAACTGCATTCTCAGCTGCCCCTTTCTATACAATTGTAACCAGAATGACCAGCACTTAATGAACAATTACTATGTGTGCCAAGCACTGATCTACGAGCTTTCCACGCATTACCTCATTTACTCCTCAAAACAGCCTTGCAAAGTAGTAAATATCACCCTCCTTAGGGAGATGAGGGTGGGCCATGGAGTCAGTCAGGGACGGAGGAGAGATTCAACCCAGTCAGTGTGACTCCAAAGCTCATGTCTTCTCCACGTGCCCACACTGCCTCCACTGCACTGTTCTACCCACACACGACCATGATTCATAGCAATACCTCCTTGTCACTGATAATGAGAGAGGGAAAAACAGTGCAGTTACCCTGTGCTGAGAAAACCCAGTTCAATTTTTTAACAACTAGGTCATACCTACTTTTCCCCGCAAAAGCTCTCTAAGTAGGCAAGCAGGCAAAGAGGAAGCAGGAGGATGGATGACCACGTTTAGTTGGGAAGGAAGAGCTTTATAAAGGCAAACTCTCATCAAAGGGACTGGGCAAGCATGGAGAAAGACAACCAGCTCTGAGAGAGGCTCCAGCTGAGATTTCTGCAAAGCTGTATTTCCAGGGCAATTCCGACAAAGGCAGGCTGCTTACAGGTAGGGCAATGGTCTTCAGGAGCTGACAGTCTAGCTGTTTTCTCTAAAGGAAACAATACAGAAGCACAAAAGCAGGCCAACGATTTATTTTTGAAGGTTATGATATATGTACTTAAAGAATGGTTTTAAATTGTTAAATTAACAAAGAACAAGAATGGTTGAGGACATGGTCTCTCTGAATTTTCCTCACAAACCTTCTCACAGAAACATTAGAAAAGAGGGCAAAAATAGATGGCTGGGATTCAGGAGGTTCTGAGCAATTGTATGACAGTGGCCTTGTCACTTAACCTCTGAGTCTCAGTTTCCCAATTGTTCCGTGGGGGATTGGATTAGATGAAAATTCCAAGGTTCCTTCAGACCCCAGATACTGAACGTCCTAAGGTAACAGGGTTCAAAGGTGCATTAGTGCCATCTCGTGGCAAAACAAGCACACTGATGATACAAATTGAATAGAAGTAGCAGTTCTGAGGAGCCTACGAGGCAATCAATCATTTCAGAGGCCTAAGAAATCAAGTCAAAAGAGGCTGAGAGGAAAAACAAGGCCTAGAATTTCCTTAAAGCCACAATGGCTCCTGTTGTACAATATGCATGATGAAGAGAATGACTGCAATACTTATCCACCTCAGGAATTAAAATAGAAATTAAACAGTAAACTACTCTGAGGTTGACAAAGACTAAGCACCACTAGACAAGGGGCATGGTTACTTTTACAATTAAAAAGTCTGTTTTTACAAGGGTATTTATAAGCACAGCTGGATTGTGGTCCACTTGCTTAAATTTACAATTTTCTTTCTTAAATTGAGGCTACTACTCAAATTTCCTTCCTATACTCAAGGTTTTTGCAGAATGAAGAATAACCAGTAGCTTCACACTTTTTGCTCCTTACACAATTGACTGTCTAAATTTTTCGGATGTCACGTAAGTTTAACATGTTATAACTGAATCCTTAAACGAAGCTGTACAGTCCATTCTCTCCTTTCTACATCCCTGACTCATTCCCATGACCTCACATGCAGATAAGTTGTTGAATGGTTTCATTAAACAGGAAATGACCTAAGCCAAATCCAAGAATGGTATCAGTGTTCTTTGGTAGGAGCTTTTCCTAAAGTGATGCTTTGTGCTCATATTTTTAAAAATATGCATCATGAACCCTTTCTTAACCAAATTTCTCATTTACTAACTACTAAATTCACCTCCCTAAGGAAAACACAAGTCTTAACCTGTCAGCTTCTCTCTTTAAAGGGAAAATTCCCTCTATTTCAGTGTCTTCCTTTAAACAGCAGGATCAGCTAAATTTTATACATACTTTTTTCTAATACATTATATTCATACTAGATATATAGTCTTATATATCTTATTATATATCTCGTTTTATACA